CAGCTCCGTGTCTGCCTCGTGTGTGTCATCCCAACGACTACACAACAGTTACATCACCCAGCAAGATTCAACCAAGCCTGGGACTCAAGACAACCTACAAAGTTACCCCTGCATGGCCCCATGGGAGTCTGACAACCAATCAGGATACATTTCTTGCCACAGGAACAGGAAGCAAGTTCAAAGCCCAACAGAGGGAATAAATCTCTCTCCCTCTCTCAATCATGTGTTCTCTTTTTCCCAGGACCTCAGAACCATGTGGTCCTGTCCACCATTAAACCATCCTTCCAAGTAGTCTCCATTTTTCCAGTGTCTTTCTTCCTACTTGGAACTGAACCCAGATGGACATTTCTTCCAACACCAGAAATACTATTTTTCAGGGCAGGCAGTTAGAGCTTTATTTCTACCTGAAAATTAAGAAAGTTAATTTTGTGTGTGTGTATGTGTGTGCGCGTGTGTGTGTGTGTTGAGAAAGATGCTTTTATCAGCCATGTATGAGTTCTTTAGATTGTTAAATTAAACTTATGTGGCAATGAAAAAGAAGGCTTCAATAGTCCAGAGTGTTGACATTCTTTGATCTACATTAAGTAAAAGTGAGCAGTCATAGACAGCACCAAGAACAAAACATGTTGGCTTAAGGGTACTGCAGAGATTTATGAGGTACATGCATTACTAGGATAGCAATTGCATATAGATGAAATGAGACAAGTGCCTGTTGCAAATGTGAATAGTATATGTCTTAAGACAGGGGTGTCAAACTTGATTTCATTAAGGGCTGGATTGTGTTTAACCTTGGGGGGGACCAGGTGTGCATGGTCAGGGTAGGCGTGGCCAGCTCGACATCACTCGTGTTGGGGGCACCTGTGGTGGTCCAGGCAGGGCTGGGGGGGGATCCATTGTCTCCAGCAGAGGACGGTGAGATCAGGGAGAGTGCCAAACCTTTATCTTCCAGAGGAGCCTTGCCATCTGCTGGTGGCCAAGTGCTAAGGCAGGACTTCCCTCTCTCCACTCCCTTCATTTCCTTCTTTTTCCTTCCTTGCTGTCTTCCCATCTTCCCTTCTTTTGCTGTGTCTTTCCTCTTTCCCTTTCTCCTTTCCTGTCCCTTCTTGGATTCTCAAATGCAAAATGGGAAACATTTCTCCTTTTGTTTTGTTTTGCTTTTAGTTTGTTTTGCAAGCCCTCTGCCAGCGAAAATGGAGCCCAGGGGGGCTGCCTGTGACATCCCCGGGCACTGTTTTCAGCCTGGACGGCCTCCTGAAGCCCTCTGTCAGCTCTGTTTCAGCCTGGATGGCCTCCTGAAGCCCTCTGCCAGCCTTGGTTTTGGCCTGGATGGCCTCCTGAAGCCCTCTGCCAGCAAAAACGGCTCCATTTTTGCTGGCAGGGGCACCATGGGCTGGTCCTTCTCCATTTCCATGGCTGCCCTGCAGGCCAGAATTAAGCATCCCATGGGCCAGATCTGTCACACGGGCCTTGAGTTTGACACTCCTGTCTTAAGAGCACCATTAGAAAAACAATCTTTAGCCAGCTAACCTTTTCAATATTATATACCACTTATAAAAACCATGAACGATTAAAATGAACATCTGAAGTGAATCTTTAATCTAAATTATAATTCAATTTTAGCTAGATGACCAAACCTCAAAATCAACCATGAGGAAAACCAGAGGTGAATTCCCTGGCTGACAGCTGCTGAAGCAACCAGCAGGGACTGAAACTACATAGGTAATGTGCAAAGTGTATGGTTACACAAGCCAATTTGGTTTTATATTAATTTTCAATACAGTGAATATTTATGAGTTGTTTATGCCTATCATATGTGAATAAAGCCTAAGGCAGAATTCAAATATCAATACAGAAGTTTTACACCCTTTCTTTCCATATTTAACATTATGATGTGAGGTAAAGCAATAGGTTCATATTTATCAGAGCTAATGCACCACAGAAGCTAAAAAGACACTAATATGAATCCATTAATATCCAGTTCTCATTTCTTTTAAACTTAATCCCATATGTAAAAAAGGAAGATGAAAAATGTTGACTTTCTTTACAGAGTTGTAAGGATTTTAATTCAGTAGCATAGAAACCTAGAATTCTGGATTTTTAATTGGTGATGAAATCTGGTGGCCTCTCATTTTCTTTAATAATTTTTATAGTATGCATGGGTTATTGCTTATAGGTCCAATTTTTAAGAAAAAATGAAAAAGCAATATTTGCATTGTTTAAAATACATAAATATGCTTATATGATATTTTCCATATTTCGTAATGATATTTTTCTATATTCTTTATACTCATGGATAGGAGAAATTTAATTTTAGTAGTTCACGTAAATAGTCTTCAGAAAATATTTTTACCTTGGTAATCCTGCAGCAATGCAGAAGAGCTCCATAAGATCTGAAGAGTTGCAATACTTGCTGAAAGTCACCTGCCAAAGAAAAGAGAATTAGTGAAGACATAACAAGGAGAAAGAGCTTGTAATGGCAATTTTAGCCTATTGTCTGATTTTTGTTTCAAACCAAGCATGATCTGGTTTCTTTTCCATTTATTTTCTGAAGCCTTTATTGTGTTTTCTATTTAGCAACACACTTCTAGCCAACATGTTTATAAAATTCTCATTGTGATGAATGACCATCTGCATTGCCAATCCTCCAAGATATGAAGCTGCAAAGCATCTGTGTCTATTCAGGGGGACTTTGTTGCTACCCAATTAATCATGCTCAGTCAGGACTCTTGAAAGTACAACGTATTCCTGTAGTGGTGGGATTTAAATAATTTAACAACCAATTCTCTGCCTTAATGACCAGCTGGGTAAGTGTGGCTGGGTGGTAATGTGACTAGGTGGGTGTGGCCAACTTGATTCCACTCACATCAAGGGGCATTTCACTTCACCTGGCCTCTCATGTCTGTGGGGATGTTGCAATGGTTGTAAGTGTGAAAAACAGTCATAAGTTACTTTTCAGTGCCATTTTAACTTTGAATAGTCACTAAATGAACTGTTGTAAATCAAGGATTATCTGTACAAAAATACAAAAAGCTTATTTGCTTGAAAAAAGCTGCCCTAAATACCAATCATTAGATTAAAAATACCTGCAACCCTGAGTTATAAATTAGCCAGGGTGCCAGAGAACTTTAAGGAATTAAAATAGTTAAAATACAATGATAGCTATCAGCAGGCAACTCTTGCTCATAAGGTGAAACCCTTTAGCAGAGAGGTCATTTAAGCTCTCCAGAAAGTGGGTGGGCACACTTGGCTACAAAATGCCAAGCTAAAGAGACAAATTAACAAAGCATATAGGGGATCCAGGTTCAAGTCTTCCAAGCTTGTCAGGATCACAATAAAATTAGTACATGCCACAGATATCTAAATAAACTTCAAGCCCGGTGCCATGTTACTAAGTGTCAGGCTACAGAACTTTTTCACATTCAATTAACAAGAATGAACTTTTGAAACCCAAACATATCAAAAGGAATCCTTTACTGAGATGAGACAATTCATATAGGAGTTCAAAGCAGCGTCTAAGGTCTCTCAGGCATACAGGGAGAGATAAGGGAGTTTAGAACCCCTCCCCTTATTTCGATGTGTATTTAGTGAAACAAAAGCCAGTGTGTTAATTCCCCCACACCCCTTTTGTAAGGAACTTTCTCACAGTTTCCCAGGGCATACCTAATTTCCCCCCACCCCCTTTCAGAACGAACTTTTCCAGAGGTTCCCAGGACACATCTCACTGTGGAATTTTTATGGTCTTCTCATCTCCTGGCTGTGCCTCTCAGAGGTGATAGGTTCCGGCCATCTGGGTTTCCTCCCTTCATTGTATCATGTGTAGGTTATGCAAATTTGATATAAGATTAAATATATTCAGGTTACATCAAGAAAGGATTTCTTTATCAGTCTCCCCCCCTTTTCTTCTTCCACCAAGGAAATGACAGATACATGGATCTGACACTAAGCCTTGTTATCATAAGAGAAAACTAAAATGAATTGGAAGATCCATATCCCTACCTCTTTTTTTTAAAAAAAAAAAAATACTATCAGTGAGCAATTATGTGCTTTGGCTACTCCAAAGAAATGCAAGAGATTCCTGTCCCAGAGGTGCTTTTTCAAGAGGCAACTGGACTTTCTGGAAATCAAGAAAGTCCAGTTGCCTCTTGAGAAAAAGCACCTTTGAGACAACCATGACCTGGATGACTGAAGAATCCCCATAGACAACAGATTCCTGTGCTCAGTGAACTGACACTCTTTCCCATCCAGGACCCTTTCCCACCCAGGAGAAGCAATCCTTAGGTCAAGCTGCACCACTTAAAGATATCAGCTGGTCTCACTCACCTCACAAGACATTCTAAAAAAATAATCCAGATTTAAGGAAAGATAACATGCCCCCAGAAAGACATTAAAAAAAAAAAGAGTGCCAAGCCTACATCCTACCTCTTGGAAGTACACCCCAAAAGGACAGTGCCAGGAACCACTAAAGCAGGGTAAAAAGCTTAAAACAACCCTTTCCCTTTAAGAAAGTCAAGCCCCATTAGCTATTACAATGTAATAAGGCTAAATCGGAAAGGCAGTTTCTGTAAGCAGGGCAATAAAGATAAGGATTAGGCTAGAAACAACACAGAGGCACATCAGAATGTTTCCTTCCTGCCTTCCTGACAGGATTAGCACTGTAAAGTGGAAAAAAAAAAAACCAAAAGGCTGTTGGAAGGAGATTTCTTCAACAACCAGTTCTCCAAACTGCTCAGAAAGTTAACAAATGGTTCTTCCAAATAGATGCGAACCGGCTGAATCCCACCACTGATTCCAGTATACAAGAATACAATAGATATCATTTCCAGAACTTTATTTGAGGTAAAAGCCAGGTTAAAAAGTATGGCCGATATCACTAAACTTTTAAGAAAAATAATATTTTATTTATTAAGTTTGTTTGCCATTCATCTCACCACAAGATTCAGTTGCAAAAAAGTTCAGAAATGGACAATTCTTTTAAATAAAACATTGGTTTGCAATTATTTTTCTGTTTTATTATTTTTAATTAATGTTATACTCTTCTGAGGAAATGTGGATTATTTGGTAGATTAAAAGTATAATCAATAATAAATAATGGGAAATTTTTTATCATGATTCAAAGATAAATCCTTGAGAGGGAAAACCCAAAGGAAGATATTGAGTTTGATCACTTAAAGCTGCTGGATCCACATGTCACACTAATTCTTAACTGTGGTGTATACAATTAAAAGAAATTATTATTTAATGCAACTTCTGAACTTAGCCAAACAATAAAGCTAATTACTGGATGCAATAAATTAGCAAGCCTAAATAAAGCTGATTGATTATTCATTCATACGACAATTCCACAACTCTGGCATTGGCATCTTGACATTCTATATGCAAGTATTTATAAATTGGATATAGCAAATGAACAAGAACTATAGAAGCAGTAAAAATGATAGGCTGTAAGAACGTTTTAAAAATGTAATGTGAAGAGGAAAGGGAAGTGATTTAGAATTGTATGATACTGCCAACTTCCATGTTCTATTTCCAGCAGTTTCACTCTTATCAAAGAACATTCACTGGGAAAGTTGAATAAGAATAGAAAGTTACAGATACATTTCAATATAGTGCTCCCTAGGGCTAAAATCAAGTAACAGTGCTATAGATATCTTTATTTCACATTCCTTTCTAGAACATTTCCATGTAACAACATTTTGGACAACATGACTTTATTTTTGATCCATTTATTGTCACTTTTGGGATAGCCAAAGTCCCGAGGCTATACTTTTTCTATCACATTTTTTTTTCTGTACAAACTAATTAAGGTAAAATGGTTGATTTTCTCGTAATTACAGCAATAGGTTCTGTAGCTCCTGAGGAGCTGCAGTTATGAAACAAAACCAGGGTGTTATTGCTGTTTGAATAAATCAGATCCAGATCTTACTGAAGTCCTTGGCAGAAAAAAAAAGTAAACTGGCAAGAAGCACTATCAGAAAAAAAATACTTAGTTTGGCAAAATACCACCTGCTAATGTTTGAGAATGCAATCAGTGCAGTCTACTGAACTTAGAATGAACTTCTGAAATAGGCTGGACCACTGAGCCTTGAAATCAATTATCACTGAACAGAATGAATGCAAAGTAAATGAGATATGGCAAGATAATTGGAACAAATGGAAGTCAGATAGTTAGCATGGTTAGTTAAGGACCAAAGTGGGAGAGATAATAGAATAGTTTCCTCTTTTTTAGGCAATAGGCAGTGGAGATTAAACAAAACCAAGGAACCTATTAAAACATATTACTTTATTGGCATAAATATCTTGATGTGCAATTCATTTTCATAAAGGTTTGTTGGTCTTCACTAACAAAACCAAGATCTGCATAAGCTGTAGATAAACACTGTGCCTAATAAAATCCTTGCTGCATTCTGATAAGCATATCAGGAAATGAAATAAAGGACATTCTTTTAAGCCAATCATAATATGCTCTATTTTTTTTCTTTTCTGGACAGAGAAAAGGCTGTGATGAAGTAGAAAATCCTTTTCAGCCTACAGACTTAATTTTTTTTTCCTTTCAAGCAACTTTTCATCCAATGGTTCTATAATGAGAGCTGAGGATCACTAAAGGAATTTTAGAACTATTTCATTAAAATATTTACAGGATTATTTTAAATCTGCAAATGCTTGTTAAAATTGGATAGATAGTATCATAAGCAGTGGTGCATTTCAAATATTTTTACCATTGGTTCAGTGGGCGTGGCTTGGTGGGCATGCTTTGCATGCACACACACACTTTGCATGTGTGTGCATGCACCAAATGCACACTTGGCGCAGGAGCAGAGGCTTGCTGACTCACCTCCTGCAATCCTGCACTCTCCCTGTCACTTCAGCAGCTTCCACGTGTCAATCTGCTGTGCAGTGCAAAGCAGCTGCGCTTACAAAACAGGGAATAAAGGTTAGTATGGGAGCCCTGGTGGGCGGGTGGGCCCAAAAGCAGAGTGTCGGAGAGAACCAGTTTGGTATCTGCTGCTCATCAGCTCTACCAGCTGGGCAGAACCGGGCCAAACCAGTAGAATACCACCATTGATCATAAGGATAGGTTCTCTGAATTTCAATGGATCAATTGATATCTTGATAGACTGAAGTCTATCTGTTCAGTGTTTAAAGCAGTTGATATTCATTTGGGTTCTATCTCGAAAGAGTCATCTTCAGGGGTTGGGCCTGCAGTCAAGATGCTTTTAGATGCATCTCGTGATCCATGAACTTTAGGAAGTGCCACCTAATGCTTTGAAGGAGGCCCTTTGCTAATGTTACATATCTCAAAATTAGCATGGCATCACTAGACCCTTGCCACAGGATCTGCTGCACTATCACCACGTTGCTTTTTCCTTAGAAACTAGTTGTCAACTGTGGTTTATGCTTAGGAGCTTCACATAACCAAATCC